AACACAAAGCAAAACACCCACACACACACACACACACACACACACACACCCTCACACGCACCCCCACACGCACCCCCCCCACACATCCCCCACACACCCCCATCCCGGCCTGGAAAGGCTGAGTCACCGCGGCCTCCACCAGCCGGCAAGGAGGCTGCCGTGGGGTTGGCAACACAAAATGGCCACCGAGGACGATTTGCAGAGAGAGGCACCGGCGGGGGGGGGGGGGGGGGCCCCTCCATGAGGGAGGGCGCTGAGGAAAAGGGGGAGACAGAGCAGGAAGGACGTGGCCGGGGCTGGGAAGTGGGGCAGGAGCTGTCCCTCCCTCCGCAACAGGGTCTAACCTGCTTACTCCCCTCAGCTCCGGCTCCCCCTTCCCTTCCCAGAGACCCCTTCTCCCACGGGGCTGTGGCAGGGCCACGTGCCCATCCCCCGTCGGCATCAGGCCATACGCAACCGGTACGGCCAGCCTCTGCCAGAGCCAGCACTGCTGGGAGGAAGTTCACCACACTGGAGTCCAACCTCCGTGGAGGCAACACAACGCCGTGCGGACAAGGGGCTGGACCAGAAGCGAGGCGCCCTCAGGGCTAACCCCACCAGTGCCACTGACCTAGGGCGCCTCGCTTTGCCCTCCTCAGTCCCTGGGGAAGACGCAAGAGGCACGCAAGCCGCCCTGAGCTTTGTCAGAGTCTCAAATCCATGATGGTTGGTTATTCGGGTCACCTGCCCCCCTCTGTAGCAAAGTTTGGGGGGCCCAGAAAAGACAGGGCCTTGCTCAGGCTCCTAACTCTGGCAGCTGCAGTCTCTGCAAGGGCTGAGGGAACAGGGCCCGCATTTCAGTGCTGGGAGTGACCCCTGGATAAAAGTAGCTGCCATGCTCCTCCCATCCACTTCAGAGGCGTTTGCGTCTGGGGGAATCTCTGGATATAACCCGCGGCTGTCTGTCACCCCAGAGGCGGCTGCACCTCAGCACTGGGGGAGGCAGTGCTGAATAAATGCAAGAGGCAGCGTTTGTGCTAACAGGATGTGCTACGTTTATGGTGCTGGGGATTCCGCGGAGATTTCCAGCTCTGTGGGGCAGCAACCTGTCTGGGCCACCCCTGCCTGGGGGAGCAGACTGAGAGGGGGACCCAGGGGTGCTGCTGCTGCCCTGAGTCCTTGCCACAAAGGCCAGGCCTGGGAAACCCTTTGGGGACAGGCCCCCCCCCTGCGGCGCTCCCAGAATCAGGGTATAGATACCAGTGAGCAATGACAGCTGGCAGAGGGATTCCATTCGCCCATCTTGCCCCCGAGCCCTGCCTATCTGGACGGCAGGGCAGGGCAGGGGCAAGAGGAGATGAGGTTGCAGTGGGAGGGGGGAAATGAGACCCCCAAATGCCCCCCGTGCTCCTCTGGCTGGGACGGACGCAGGGGCGGCGATGAGGTTGCAGTGGGAGGGGGGAAATGAGACCCCCAAATGCCCCCCCCGTGCTCCTCTGGCTGGGACGGAGGAAGAGGAGGCGGGTTATTCCGAGTGGCGGGGCGGACAGGAACATGGGGTGTAACGCTGCCTCCCTGACTCCCATCTGCCGCACGGCAACCCCGTCAGCTGCTGCTTATTAAAACCCAAATCTCCGTGGCAATGGCTGGGGGGAGGGACGGAACCATCACAGCAGAGAGCTGCCCCCTGCCCCCTCCCTGTGCCCCATCCTTTCTAGCCAGGGCAGCTCTGAGCCGGGGGGCGGGGCAGGGAGCTGGACTGGAAAGCAGGGGGCTGCGGCAGGCCAGGCGCAGGGCCGGCCGAGCCGGGTGCGGAGCCCTGGGCAGAGCGAGGGGAAAGACCTCCCATGTCTGGGATGCTACAGACGAGATGCTGGGTAAATCTGGAGGGAGCCCGGCCTCTCAGATGTCGCCCCTTCAAGCCACCAGGAGAAACTGTTCCTGCGACAGCCGGACACTGCCCTGCCCAACCGGCAGCTGGACCTCCGGGCGTGGTTGCCTCTGGGCTCTCCCCACACGCCTGCCAGCAGCCGCTCCAGCTTCCGGCCCAAGACTAAAATAACCCAGGGAGGCCAAACCGCCAGGGGCACCCACAGAACTTGGACCAGGCTCCTGCAGCCAGCTGGGAAGGAGAGTGGGACGGTCACAGAACTCGAGCATTTCCCGGATACATCCGCGGGCTCAGGGCCCAAGGACACGGCTGCTTTGCAGCATCAGCAGACCTTTGCCCCTCCCGCCTGCCCTCTCAAGCGCCCCTTTGGGGTCTCCTCACCGCCCCCACTCCTCTGGGCCAGTCTGTTCCCACAGCCCCTTCCCCAGCTCTTCCATGCTGGAGCGTCACCCTCCAGCTCCGGCCTCTATGCCCCCCAACTCCCAGGCGCCAACTCCAGGTGGGTTTCCAGGCAACATCCTTAGGCTCCGGGCCTTCCCCATAGGAGCCCTTCATAGACCCTGTCACCCGTTTTAGAAACATTGGCTTATGGCTATGAACATGCATAACTCGAAGATGCTTTATGCAAAGCCATTCATGTAACGTGCCAGTGTTGCAGTTGCAATGCGCTGCACCTGCCTGTCCTATTTCTGTGCCTGTCTCGTTCTTGTCGGCGCAGTTCGAAATGAGAGGTGTGGAGCTGTTTGTAATTCTGTCGGGGCTCACCAGGGTTTTAGAAACATTGGCTTATGGCTATGAACATGCATAACTCGAAGATGCTTTATGCAAAGCCATTCATGTAACGTGCCAGTGTTGCAGTTGCAATGCGCTGCACCTGCCTGTCCTATTTCTGTGCCTGTCTCGTTCTTGTCGGCGCAGTTCGAAATGAGAGGTGTGGAGCTGTTTGTAATTCTGTCGGGGCTCACCAGGGCCATTACCGATGTCCCGGAAACTGAACGATTCAGTGATCAAACCAACGACCGCTGATTAGGCTTGTGTGTCCTATGAGCCCAGACAGTGGCTGCTCCTAGAAAGACATGTGACCGGAATCCATCTTGAATCTGGTGTTTTTCCATGAGACAGAGGATTGTGAACAAAGGATTCTGGCCCTGGGGGGAAGTTTATTTAAGCAATGGGAAGCCACCAAGATTTTGTCTTCAGATGACCTTTAAAACTGCCTGGCCCACCTAAGTGGACACAGGGTTGCCAGATGGTTTCAACAACAATACCAGACACACTTGACATTACAGCACAATCGACATTCCATCTGATTTAGAAAATACCCGACATTTAGATTTTCCCCATTGATGTTGTCTCGATTTGTTTCCCGCAGAGAGAGCTCAAATACTCGACTGTCCGGTCAAAACCGACAACACTAAGTGAACACTTAACAAGGAAGAACTCTGAAAAGTTGTAGACCCAGGCCAGAGTAACGATCAGCTCTGACTTGAAGCTGAAGCTCTTTACCTGAGAGATGAACAGCTGTTTAGGGCAAGAATTTGCATGTAACAAGTTTCTTAGTGGACTAGCCCCAAGTGTTTTTGTTCATTTTAATTGAGGCATTTTCTTTGATCTGACCCTTTTCACTTGCAATCCCTTACACCCCACTTTTATATTTAATGAAAACACTTCTGTTTATTATCAAGCCCAGTGTCAATAATTGTTACGGGGGAGGGACGGAGAAGGCAACCACTGTGCATCTCTCTCTTTCATCCATGAAGAGGGCGACCTTATGAGCCTTTTCTGTGCAAAACTTTTACACGGAGTAAAGTGGATGAGATTGGGGCATTGGTCCCTTTGGAGGGCGTTGGTTTCTGGGTGCTGAGTACTTAGAGCTGAGCCCTCCTGGGCTCTGTGGGGGGACAGTAACCCCAACTCTGTGCATTGGTTGGGGGGGACCAGAGCTTCTGGCTCAATGAAGAGGGCGACCTTATGAGCCTTTTCTGTGCAAAACTTTTACACGGAGTAAAGTGGATGAGATTGGGGCATTGGTCCCTTTGGAGGGCGTTGGTTTCTGGGTGCTGAGTACTTAGAGCTGAGCCCTCCTGGGCTCTGTGGGGGGACAGTAACCCCAACTCTGTGCATTGGTTGGGGGGGACCAGAGCTTCTGGCTCAG